CACAGGTTAAGTGCATTATTAATCGAATGTGTATTCAGACATAATTCTGAAGACTTTGCAGGTAGTTAAAATACTCCACTTGTTTTTCGGTGAACAGTTTCTATGTAGTATAGTAATGATGTTATTATTTGTCTGGTACGTCACTACTCCTGATAAGAATATGAAGTGGAAAAACATTTTTTATTTTGAATTGTATGAATCCCTAGAAGAATGCCCCTCATGACCCAAATTGCCAAGATTTTGCATAATCTCTGTGAGCTTTATTTAAAAGACATTTTCGTAACTTTTAAGTCCTTCTCAGAAAATGTATGGCATGTCCATAGCCTATATGTTTCCTGACTTTAATTGTATAGATGGTTTTAACAGCTATTCTAATGATCTAAATCTAACTCTTTTTCATTTATATAGAGAAATAGACTTAATATTTTACTAGTTGTTTTTGTCAATCTACTCATATTTTTGTAACATAATTATAAGTTTAAAAATAATATTTCTCTAATATGAAAAAAAAAAAACAAAATAGTCCTAATTTATTCATTTTATTATTTTATATATTGTGTATAATATTTAAAATTTTAAGTTTAAATGAATTCATTGATCTCTCTTACTACTGCATGTAGAGATTGCATTAACAGATTAGTACATCAGATTCTTCTTCTCAGGCAATATTTGCTTACCTAATGGATTATATAAAATCTTTAAGTAACTGTGTGCATACGACTTCTCTGAAATATATAATTTATTGTATAGTCAAAAATAAATAAATAAGAATAATTGCTGCGTAAGCAAAGTTGTGTCGTTTAATCTGAAGATGTCCGATATTCAGAAGTAGAAACTTCTTTAACTTAGTTTTAATAGGCGGGAAATTTTAAAATTTTTCAATAATTCCTTTATGTGTATCCAAAAAAAAAAAGAAAAGTAACAAATTTTGAACTCCAGTATTAATATCACATTATAATAATAAATATTAAATTAATTTGGTTTTATTATTTTAGGTTCTAATAACCGTATTAGTTTCCTAGATAAGGTTCTACACACAAGAAAGAATAATATAAAAGCATGAAATAAATAATGTCCCTACAAAAGAACAGTAATGAAATTTAAGAATCAAAAATAAGCAATATAATTAATTAATTCAATTATTCTACATCTAGTTTACGATTTCATTCTATCATAACAAAGCATGTGAATTTGTTAATGAACTTTCACACCAAATTAACAAAAAACTCCAAGTTCGAACATAAAAGTCGAGTACGGCTTTGGGTCAGTTGACTAATGAACGCTGACTCTGAGCTTCAAGTTTGGAAGGGCATGAGTTCAAACCTTGGTACTTGTAGTCTTAAAAAATTATTTACGCATAATCAAATCTAAGAAATAATTTCTAAAGACCACTGATGATGGGTATTTGACAATACTCGAGACGGCTGTATGCTGAGCCATAAATTCAATTAATTAATAAATAATAAAATTTTATTGCTGTAATTTACTACTCTTCAAAATACCAAAAATGTAGTTTCTTTCATCAAAACGGACGTTAAAAATAAACTTAAATTATTTTTTTATATTATAATTTAAGAAATTAGTGTAAAAAATCCATTGCGCTTATTTAATTATATGTTTCTCAATCAACCGAGGTATTTAAATTATTTACTCCATATTTAATCATTACATATATTTAGTAATACTAATATATAATAATATATTAAATGTTAACTCAATTTTGTTGACATTATATATTTAATGATATGTATATATCGTCAGAAACTATATAATATCTGGAATATATACGATTATTAAAAAAAAAATATTTCTATTTTATAATGAAAGTCATTGTAATTTAATTCTTTTGAGAAATTATAGGAATCCCTTTTGTGTTGCAAGTCTAAGGGTTTTCCCACTAAATTTTTTCAGTTAGACTATTTTTAACTTATCGAAACTGTTTTTTTTCCTAAGCCAAAAGCGAAATTCCTAAGATGACTAATGGAACTCCCAGCTCGCGGCTGTCGATCTGACGCATATCCAAGTACATCGCGGAACTAAATTTGAAGTTCGTGATTCTTCCAAATTTCTGTTCAGTATTGAATTTTTGATATCATAAACAATTTTTGCAAGTCAAATTTTGCTGATTTTTCATGAAACTTCATTACATAATCTTGAGCAGAGACGGTACGCTGTCTTACTTCCGTCATGCATTTTTTATTTCATAATTTTCGTATTATTTAATATTCTGCATAATGTTTTGTTTACATTTTATTTATGGAAAATTATTTTGATTTACGACTTTTAATTACGAGATTTTATCGAAATGCATTCAAGCCCGACTCTTCAAAGCCCCAAAGCTCAGTGCAGTCTTCTGTTTGGCCTCGCTTGATTACTGCCAGAAACTTGATATTCTCTTGTTTATTTTCATTGTTTTTTTTTGTTATATCTTCACACTTTAAACAATTTTGTTAATAATAAATAATTACATTTTTTTAACATGTTTTTATAATATTTGCACGTTTGATCGATGTTTCTTATTTTCAAGAATTTTCCATATATAGCGATAACGAAATACGAGTAGCAAAGTTGAATAAACGACTTAAAGAATTAAAATGCAATTACATTTTTTTTATTTTGTTTTTCTTTTTTATTTAAAAAAATGTAAAATTTCACTAAATTCGATGAATAAAATAATAAAAATGTGAATAAATAAAAAGTTGCAACGAACACAAAATTCTTGTACTTCTAAGTCTAATTACGTAAAGCAGTTACAAATTGTGAAGATGTAGCGCCTCTATTCCCGTCATGGCACATAGCCATAGTTGTGATATGTTTGGCCGTACTGGTGTGGATGGTGTAAATATGGTATGCTGCCGAAGGTGTAAGCGGGCAGCACAGGTGTCGCTGATTTCGCAGACGATGTGGTCGAGGTTGAAGGTCTAATTTGTGGCCTCTGGTTAGGTCTTACGCAATTGAAAAACTCAGCAACGAATACCGCAACGAGTACGGCTAGTAACGCACCCAGCGAAGCACCGGCCAATACATCTGACCAGTGATGATGATAATCGGCGACACGTGTCAGTGAGACATACCAAGCGAGCATTATGAAAATGAATTGCAATAAATGCTTAAGTAGCTTGGAAGCACGTGTACTAAGCGTCGACTGCAAGTATATGGACACATATAGCATAGCATAGAACATGAGACTCGCGTGACCACTCGGGAAGGAGACAGTTGCTTCCGATATCATATGCGCTGTGGCATTTGAGTTCTTGCATGTATAATCAGTGATGTAGCGTCCGAAGTTGGTAGTGTTTGAGCAGTTGGTACCGTCTGGCAGTTCTGGTTGACACACAGCAAAGAAATGTGGACGCAAGCGTCCTGTTGAATGTTTGGTAATCATTGTAGCAGTTATTGTCAAAGCAAAACCAAAAAGAAATATTCCTACGTGTTTGTAGCACTGCAATAGGCGGTAGCCAATACGACAACCTGTACCAGCGTTGGGTTTTCTTTTGCATGCTGTATTGTTAAGTCGTTTGAACAGTTCCACAGTTAAAATAACGAGACAAGGTACTCCCAATGAAATAAGTAACACTACTGATGATCCGATTGTGCTTTGCAGGAACGGATACTGCAATGATTCATCGTGGCAGAAGAAGCCCCGTCGAAAAGGCTGGAACCACTTTAATATTGCAAAGAGCATGAAACATGCCGCAAGGAATATGAAAATATCGAAACAAGTGCGCGCTGTTTTCGTTAATTTCGACATCTTAAATTGCTTCTTCGAGGTTGTCAAGTAGACTTTCACACGCGATTCGAATCGTCTCGATTACTTGGCTACTTATGTGCAATCAGCGATTTCGTATGCAAATGTCAATAAATTCCACAATATCTTCAAATATCAAAGTTATTAACTCGCCGTCACAAACCGAGCACAAATCTACTAATGCACACTTCTTTACCAGACCGCGTTTTACGATTGACTAACTTAAGTCGTTTGCCTATCAAAGCGCTTAACTCAGTCTAAGCGTGAGCGGCGCTGCCATGGTGAGGAAAATAATAAATATTAATAAGAAATAAAATAAAGATGAAATAAAATGAACATAAAATCGAAATGAAAGAAGTGTACAAATGTATTATACCTCTTCGCTTACAACGCAGTCTTTGGGTTTGGACAAATCAGTGTCTCAGCTGTTCGCAGCCGCTGCTCTGTATCTCAGTGCATACGTATATGCCCGCTCGGCTTGAGTAAATACGATACGTACGATTCACGTACGTTTCTATGTACATTGTGTTGATTGAATTTTTATTTTAAGCATTCCAAGAGATTCAATCGCATTTATAAAATTCCAGTTATTTCACCTCATACTTGAACAGGTTTTAAAAAAACCCACCGTAGTGGTACCGCAGTATCTCAGCTACCTGCCAACAAATCTTCGACTCTCATTATCCATTCGCTTTGTTTGTAAAAGACTTGTCTTTCGGTTTGCTGCTTCTTTTGTGCCATCTTTTTTCTTTGATAAATTTTTGGTTAAATATTAAATCTCACATTCTCATGATATTTTTCTGCATAATTTTATGAGTAGTCTTGTTTTTCGGGGGCAACCCAGAGCCCATGCGAACCTCATCAACCGTTTCAATTGCATGCAAACTCTTCCATTGATGCTGTTTTCACCGCTAATAAATAAACACTCGTAAACATGGGCCTCGCCATTATTAATGGTAGGAGTATTTGGCAGATTTTTTTGCTGTGGCATTTGTTGTTGCATTCGCAAAGTGGTTGGGAATATCTTGTGCAGCTACAGGCGCATGAAAATGCATTTCGATATGCATTAATATAAATATCTATAAGCTCTCATAATGAGCTTAAATAACAATGCGAATACCAATCTCACCCGTTGCAGTGGCACTACACTATTTAGCGGCTACTTAAGTTCTCTCCTTTGAAAAGTTAACAACTCCATCAAATTAGAGAAAATCAAATATGTTATTTATTTTATACATTGTATGTTGTATTAACATTTTCAGTTTTTTTTTTTTTTCATTTTTTTAACTTGTTTATAAATGTCTGAAAATCGAAATGCATTTCCACTTTGGCTATCGTTTTGGAAAAAACTTAAATGATAAAAGAAACTGAACTTAATTATGAAAGCCATGGCCTTAGGCAGATTGAATATTAAAATTTTTTTTAATTAAATTCAAATTCATTTAAATTTCTTGTTTAACAAGTTTAAAAAACAAGTCTCGGAAAAATTTGATAACAAAATCTTCACTTTCATGCCTAAAAACTAAATTAACATTTTATTAATGGAAAAATTAAATTTTGTATACAAAAATCTTAATGAAAATATTAAAGGGACCAGACGTACCTGTGCACTGAATTTGTATCTTTATGTAGCTAATCTGTAGTAATTCAGTGGAAGAACAATTCTGTTTCTATAACAATAGTATGTAACAATTTGGCTTTGTTCGTTTAAGTTCATTTGAAAACCTAAGATTAGGAAGTCAAAACATATAAATCCACCAGCAACCAAAAATATGTTTATTATATATTAAAAAATACGAAGAAATAGGAAAAAATTAAGCGGAACTAAAAAGTAAAGAATCCTTTAGTATTCAAATAGATATAATATTAATACAAGAGCTAAATCGATATGAAACACTATAGTCTATGTGGGTTTAAATTAGCAATTAAAAATTGGATAGAAATAAACGTCGTTATCACTTTTCGAAAACCTGTATCCTTATTTAAAAATTTTCCAATATCGCCTACTTAAACACACAGCCCTGAAATAAAGACTCTGAGCGATACAAGCTACCGACTAAAGATCTATGATCCTACAGAAATAGATAATCGCTACAAGATATACGAAACAGACAAAAAATTTTAGACAAACAAAATTAATCCGAGAATACAATAACTCACATATGTCAATAAATTTGTTGAGAATCAGAAGAAAAGTCGAGAAAAATTGGCGTAATAGACGTAAACAAGGTGAGTATATAAAACTAGATGGTGACAGGTACAAATAAAAATATTAACATACAAATAATTTATATAATTAGAAGTCTATCAGGAACTACAGACTAAGAAAGAAGTCCTAATATAAAATATTTTGTATCCTATCTGGCACATTATTCTTATCAGTTCTTGTTTTGATATTGAAGACAACAGTCTTGAACATCAAATAAGAAGATACAAAACAATCTCTTATTATAGTTATTTAAAATCGAAATTTATCGTTTAAGATATGTAAATAACAAGGACTTATGCCATAATAAAAGAGTTCATATAATTAATATGTATTCATTCTGTAAGAAGTACAATATTTTGACAAAACTGAAAAATAATCATTTAACAAAAATTAACTTTCAGAATATCATAAAAAATTGCTTAAAGACTGTCTCAGGTCCTATGAAAGTACAATATGATGGCCATATAAATGTTCCTAAACTTAAATCAAACCACTAAGAACTGTTTGATTCGAAGAAAAATTGCATAAGTACTCACTCAGACATAAGAAATTGTAGATTCCAAATTCAGTTTTAACTTTAAGCTTTAGTGGAAAACACGTACGCTGATGCGCTAATGATACCCAATACCTCTTCGATAGAATATAGCGTCTTTATTCTTGTTTCACAGACGAAGATTAACACGTGTTCATTATTTTGTGATAGTAAAACGGAAGTAGGTTTTACATTTCTTCAACAACTAGGTTAAACACGAGGGAACAAGTTTGGAGTATTTTAAATAATGTTATGTACCCCATGTTAACTACAGAACTGCATAAAGACAGCCTGGAACTATTTAATTAATATCTAAGCTTAGTATAACCTGGGCTCATGAGCGTCTCTTTCTTCAACTCAGTTGACAGCATCTGTAATCAGTATTTCTGACATCCAACCTCTCTGCAAAATTACGAAGAATGTGGAATCAAAACATCCATTTTGTTAATTGAGAAAATTCGAACCTTCTTCGACTTCATACTTCTACTTAGATCTAACTTCTTAATTAAAATTGATGATCATGAGGTCTAAATGACATAGAACAGGTTTTGAATATACTGAGGCAGTATTAGAGGGAGTAGCGAATAGAATATCTAACACTGTTACAAAATAACACAACATAATTAGAAATGTTTGTAACATGCAGTGCCGAAATATGGTAATAAAAGAAGTACAGGTGACAATCAATCTATGCAATGCAATATATGTTCTAGTACATTTCTATATGCATATATTATTGCCCATATAGTACATAGTTGAAGTAAGATGGTATGTAAATTAGATAACTGTAGATTTTGAAAATTAGACTATTCTATTGGAAAATTTTTTAGAAAAAATTCTAATCATAGTCTATAATTATTAACTATGTGACAAAAATACGAGAAACCAATAATAAAGAATTCTGCATATTTGTACACAATACAGATCTTAACGAAGATAAGTTATTTTAACAGTGCACCGACCGGTTGCAAGCATGCACTTTTAATTGTAAGGAACCAGACATCAAAACAACTATAGAGCGTTTGCCCTCTATGTAAATTATCTGAAAATATTATCAATATATATGTAGCTGTTCCATTAGCATAGCATAGTTCAAAGTAATATATAATAATTTATCAGTAAAGAGCAACAGCCTCTTAATTTGAATATGAAGCAAATCTTGATCAATCGCTCATGTCGTTATACAAATATCTGCATAAAATTAAAATCAAGTTAATATATACAATAATTTAAAAATATAATTGTATTAATGAATGCACTTTTAATGCACATTACAATTAATATAAGATTTAGCAATAGAAATTTTATTGGAGAGTTTTTATTTTCAAATTAATTGACGTATATATTTCTAATTAAATTTCTTAATTTCGGAGTAATTAATGTAGAATAATGCGCAATAAAAGGTTTTATATACTTCAATCACAAAAATTGTTAAAAATAAATAAAATTAATTCGCAAACAAAAAAGTGAGCCAGATCTAGAAATACCTCAACTTATGATGCATATTAGAATTCCATCTTATTTATATTATTGTACAACGCAGAATGAATTGTACTTTCATTTCCCATTCTGCTATATTTAGAATTTCAAAATAACAATAAAATCAGACTTACATAAAATAAATGGTTACAGATTAAAAAAATTATGTTTTGATGATACATCACAATTTCATGATTCAGTGCTGTCATTTACGTGATTTGTTGACAACAAATCAGAAAACGAACAAAAAAAAATATTTTTATCTTTAACGATTTTACATGAAGATGATGATTCTTATTGTTTTGCTCGACACATTCATTTTTTTCTTATTTTTTTTTTTTTGCAAACTTAAATAAATTAATTGAGTAAATATATTTTTTCTTATATTTAAGGTCTGGTGCCAATTATATCTGCTTATGAAGCCACATCAGCACTTTTCCATGGAAGTTCCTAAATAAAACAAGAGTGACACATGTTAAGTTAGATAAATCTTGCGGGTGTAGTTGAGGTTGCTCCAGATATAGTTTAAATTCTTTGCAAGTTCCTAAATAAAACAAGAGTGACACATGTTAAGTTAGATAAATCTTGCGGGTGTAGTTGAGGTTGCTCCAGATATAGTTTAAATTCTTTGCAATGGAAGTTCCTAAATAAAACAAGAGTGACACATGTTAAGTTAGATAAATCTTGCGGGTGTAGTTGAGGTTGCTCCAGATATAGTTTAAATTCTTTGCAATGGAAGTTCCTAAATAAAACAAGAGTGACACATGTTAAGTTAGATAAATCTTGCGGGTGTAGCTGAGGTTTCTCCAGATATCGTCTCAGTTCTTTTCAATATCCACTTAATTTTCCATCTCAATATTTACTAATTTGTTTGGATGCTAAGTCCCCACCATCCAGATATAATAAACCAATTATTTATAGAAACTTTATACATAATTGCTTAGCAACTGGACAAATTGAATAAATACAAAACAAGAATAGACTTGATTTGATAAAAAATGAGTACAAAGTTCTAGACATTAAAAGAGGTTTGTCAAGACGGAGCTTATTACATAGACAAATACAATGTAGTATATAATATATAGTCTGTATATTTTATGTGAACTACTATCCCCATAAAATTAAATAAAAACATTTTAATAGATAAATTAGAAGACAGTCGTTAAATTAACCTTCTAATAATTTTTACAAAAATACAAATATTACATGAAATGATCTGCATTTCCCATATACTCT